ACTGTTAATTGGTATATCCATTATTCCAAGTTTGTCTAGCATATCTAGACCAAGAAGATCAAGGTTCGGCCGTTCTGTTAGGTAACATATTCCTGTACAGTTAGTTCCATTGAAGGAAAATTCACACTGTAATTCACCAACCAGTTTTAGCACACCACCTGATGCGTTTTTAGCCGTTTTCTTAGATGGCTTCATTGGCGGTTTACTCAGCAAGTTATACGTTTCTCTAGACACTAACGTGATATCTGATGCCGTGTCAATTTGAAGACGAGCTGATATGCCGTTTATCTGGATGGTAACATACTTTCTCTGAATGTCATAGTTTGTTTGAAAGGCAGCTACCAAAGAAAGAGATTTGGACTCGGCTGACATATCTTCCTCATTTTTATAAGAAATTTCATCAAAATTACATGCATTATTCTGAGAACCCATATCTGATACATTGTCATTAGAAATCGGATAAGCTGATTCAATGTAAATTTCTGTCTCACAATGATTTTGAGTAACATTCAGTATATTTGGGTTCATCGTGTCACTGCAGTTATTTTCTGAATACGAGTCCCCTTAACTTTTTCGGCCAATATCACGTGGACCATAATTTTGTTCTAGCTGATGTTTATTTTCAGAGCTAGACAGGACCAGTAGTGTTTCATTCAATTCTGGACTCCGGGCTTCATCTACAGGGTCTGGCTCTTGATCATTTCGTATTGCCACAACTTTATGAGCATTCAGCACAGTATTTTCTTGCTGTGAGCCGGACACGTTACAAATATTACGTTCTGATTCAGGTATAAAGGGATTTGAACCCCCCACTAGATATGCTTCTGAAATGTCTGTTACTGCATCATAAACAGATTTCTTATTTTCTGGTCGAGTGAAAAGTGTGCTCAATAGTTGTTGTTGCAAGGCTAACAACTTCTGCTGGTGCTGTAATATTAACCGCAACTGTTCTAAAGAAATCGCCATTTTTCTTTAGTTTTTCCCCGTCGCCACTGTTATAACTCTCTTTTTCTTACGGTTAATGACCCAGCTATTCCTATTGCTTAGTATTCTCGGACACCGATTCACTCGACAAGTCCCCAAATCAGAACACGGTTGAACAGGAAAGAGATTATATTCCAAATAGCAAGTCAGAAGCACAATAGGGAAAACGTCGGTATATTTATAGTTTTCACATAAGAAGATTCCAGAGTATTCTCCGACTATCGACTAGTGCTGATTGGATAAGAATTAGCCAATCAGCGTGCACCAAAGCAATCATGCATTGAGCATGCTTTAATCTAGTCTATGTCCCGCTAACAGTATCTCTCAGTATCATGTAAGACTAATTGATGAACTTAGTACTGATTGGATGGGCTAATTTCGTCATGCACCTTCTCTTCAGCAAGTGAATACCAGAGTTTTCCAGATGCTAGTTCCTAGTGGCTCACCCTGCAACGACAGTTATGCCGCCGAACTTCTGGCATAACAGTATTTTCAAACGACTCAACCGTTACACACAAACTGCATTATCGAGAGCTTCACCCGTAATTCTACATGATCGAATATCTTACATTAACTGAGAACAAAGTGCATTTCCGAGCAAACCTTGCACTGATAGCACTGAGGTGCATTTTAAGCCGGTTCGAAAATAGAGCTCCCTCCTTAATCTTCACCGGTTTTGTTTGACTTTACCTAGGGTATGGAAATGTAGTGTTTAGTCCCTAGCTCTTAAAGGATAGGAATACATTGGGACATATCCAAAGGCGAGCCAAGAAACCAGTTCGAGGGCCTCATGAAGAACTTCACAAGTCACTAGATCCTTACTCTTTAGAGTACAGACATCCCAGAACTGGCTATCCCACTTGCCATTATTGACAGTGTATCCTATGAGAGTGGGACGTGTGAATTAGTTAGTCTCCGCTTGAAATGCAAGGGACAAGAGCTGCTGATTGGTTTGGTCTATCGCAGTCCAAGCTGTGAGGTAAATGAAGTCTTGCTAAGCAGTCTCAATACTTGGTCACAAAGTGGTCGATGTCTAATCCTAGGGGACTTTAATACACCTATGGTAGACTGGGAAAATCTGCGAACTGAATCGTCAGAAAATTCCTTCGAGCAGGAACTAGTTGATGCAGTTATCACATGTGCTTTAGTGCAACATGTGAAAGAAGCGACTAGGTACGACCCGGACACTGAACCATCCTTACTAGATCTGATACTCACTCACTATGTGGATGACGTTGTGAACCTTCATTATACGCCACCCCTAGGTAAAAGTGATCACGCAGTTTTAATTTTCGACTTCCATATAACTGCCAGTCATGAGGACGCGTCAGTCCAGTCCAGACCCAACGTCTGGAAAGCAAACATACCAGACATCATGCACTCAGCATCGTTAATAGATTGGACAATAGACCCAGAGTCCTCAATTGAAACGGCCTCGGACGTATTCCGAAATTCATACTTAAAAGTTACTACACCCCACATCCCTTGGACTATACCAAGGGGACCGAGAAACTCCCCACCATGGTTCAGTAGGGTGGTCCGCATCCTTCTCCGTAAGAGAAGAAAAATGTGGGATAGATTTATGTTACTGGGGACTTATGAAACTAAGTCCCAGTATAGAAAAGTCCGGAATACCTGTGCCTCGACCCTCCGTAAGTCTAGAAAGTTGTACGAAGAAAAACTTGTTAAGGAATCCATAGAATATCCTAAACGCTTGTATTCTTAAATAAACCAAAAGACAAAGAGAAGAGGAAATATTCCTGCTCTTTGGGGAGACAGTACTGTCGCGTCACTAGTGGAGGACGACTTTGGTAAGGCTCACGTGTTCCCAAACTACTTTAGCAATGTATACACCATAGAAGCACCCTTCCCATCAGCGCATACAGATCCTCCCACACATACACTGGATGGCGTGACCATTAAAGAACTCGATGTCTTTGGTCTACTAAATAAGCTTGACATAGGTAAACCCACGGGGCCCGATGAACTACATCCTAGGCTACTGAAGGAATTATCTGACTTCGTTGCGAACCCTTTAAGTATATGCTTTAACCTATCCGTAACGCAGGGTCGTTTACCGAAAGACTGGAAAAACGCCATAATAAGTCCTGTGTTCAAAACAAGTACGAAACACAAACCTGAGAATTACCGCCCCGTAAGCTTAACTAGTGTGGTTGTTAAAATCTTAGAAAAGATTATTCGGAAGGAGTTGTTTAAGTACCTCGATGAAAACCAGATCCTTTCGGAGAAGCAGCACGGCTTCAGAATAGGTTACTCTTGTCTCACTAACTTATTAGTGGCTCGTGAAAGCTCGTGTGCTCTTGAGGACCAAAATTTACCTGTAGACGTAGCCTTCATTGATTTCAGCAAAGCTTTTGACAAAGTTCCGCACAACCGGCTGTTATATAAGTTAAGAAATGTCGGGATTGGAGGTAATTTATTGATGTGGATAAAAGACTCCTTAGTTGGGGGTCAACAAAGAGTACGGGTGAACTCAAAGTTATCTAGCTGGGAAACTGTGCTTAGTGAAGTCCCCCAGGGTACAGTTTTGGGGCCAGTGCTATTCCTCTTGTATGTAAACGACCTTCCTTGTCTCCTATCATCATCGGTCTTGCTATATGCTGACGATGTCAAGATATGGAGAACGATACGATGTGGGGGTGATAGCTTAGAACTCCAAAATGACCTGAAGAAATTATCTGAATGGTCTCAAACCTGGCAGTTGCCGTTAAATACTTCCAAGTGTGTCGTGATGTATATCTGTCATCAAGGTACAGATACATACACGATGAATAACACTGAACTACCTGTCGTCCAGAAATATAATGACTTGGGAGTCATCGTTAATCAAGACTTAAAGACTACTGCACACTGCCGTGCAATAGCCGCCAAAGGTTTTAGAACGTTATGGTCAATACTTAGGGCTTTTAGTCATGTCGACGCTAAGACGTTTTTGACTTTGTATGCAGTGTTCGTACGTCCTAAACTTGAGTACTGCATACAAGCGGCTAGCCCCTGCTTAAAAAAGACAGTAAGCTTCTGGAAAAGGTTCAGAGAACTGCAACTAAGCTGATTCTCAGAATAGTGAATCTTCCGTATGAAGCTCGACTGGCCAAGCTGAACCTTTTCCCGTTGTCTTATCGCAGAACTAGAGGCGACTAGATTACAGTTTTCAAATTGCTTAGTGCCAAATTCGCACCTGATATGCCTTCATTTTTCTTGTCTTCCAAAACAGAGAATTTACGAGGACACTCCAAAAAAGTTCATAAGCCGAGAACAAATTACTTGTCAGCTGACCATGGACTTTCCCATCGAATCATCAACGAATAGAACTCATTACCTCAGCACGTGGTTGAGGCCCCATCCGTCGATTTTTTCAAAAGAAAGTTGGATCAACTGAGGGACCACCATTGCCAGGACTAACACAGGCCATCGGGTCTCCTGTCCTTCCCAAATTGAAACTGAAACTTAATGACTTAGAGAATCCTTAACACTCCTAGCCATCCCATGAAACACCTGCTTAGGCTCAGTCTCTATGCAAACCGTAAGGATATTACCCAGAAATTAGAGTTACAAAATAACAGAACGGACAACAGGCACACCTTTTACTATTTACGAGTAGTAGTAGTGGTTCGAACGACTTTTCATGAGTCGTTCAGGCGAGAACGTGACACTATAGTTTCAACATAATCTAATATTTTACCGTTAAATCTATGTTTTAATTTTTAGGCCTCGATGGTCCACTGCTGCTAGATATGGAAGCCTGTCAAGCGAAGGCTTTTTCCATTACGTCCAGAAGCACTCGAACTACCCAAAGAATTTGATCGCGTGGCATAGTTCAGGTCACGTTACTTATCCCTGAATACATTAAAAGAGTAATCGAATACATCTCTGGTGACACGTAAGTAACGAACCTCAGAAGTTTTATTGTTCTTTGGCAAACTCACTACCATACTTACCCAATCAAAGAAAAATTACGATAATGTTTATGGTAATGAAGGTTAAGCTGAGTTGGAGTGCACAATTTCATATGTGCGTTACATTTGATGACATCCAATGTTATAAGTGCAAATGTACGCGTATGATATGTGCTTATTAATTCATGTAGGGAGATTGCAACAGAAATATTTAATTACTAGCTGGCCATTAAACTCTCGCCATCTTACTAACAAGGTTTCAGAAACCTGGAGATTATAGGTCAGTCATCGTGTCCATACTGGTTGAATAAGAGAGTTTCAAAACTTCTGTTTAATTTAATCATAGATGTCGCTTAGAACTTTCTAGAGTCACGCCTCGTATTGCTGTAGCCCAGATTAATCAGCTGTTCAGTACTCATGCTCTGGTAAATAATCGGATCTTAGATATTGCGTTGGAATTCTCTAGATAATTTTGGAATTTCCAGGAATTTAATATTATAAGCTAATCCTCAATAGATCTGCATGTTTGTAATGAGGCTATGTGCTTAAAAATCAACCATAACGGATGTAATTCCATTTACTGAAAGAATTTCCATATTCAGCTACTTCGCTCATAGTCGTTGAAATGTTGCAGTTGATCAGTCGTAGAGTTAACTCATTTTTAGGTGTGAAATTCATACTAATTTCTCTTGGATTTACGGTCAAGGCTTGAGAATAATCTTTCATTTGTCCGTTATTGTTTCGTCTAACTAGGCTGAGTACTGGAGATGAATCGCAATATATCGGCTCAAGTAAAAGTCCTGGGAAAGCTCGCAAATGAAATGGCAAATATATCCATTAAACAGTTAGGAAGTAATTGTAACAGTCGATATTCTTGTTAATTCTTATTTATTTTTCTGTCAGACTAGAATTCCGTGAACATTTTATTGCGCGTTTGTTCCGTACTCGCTTTTAAAATTGAGCTTTGTCATAGGACTGTTAAAATAATCAAATACCAGACTCAAACAAGTTACTGACTAGCTTGGAGTGCCACCAGGTATTCGTGTATTCTAACGTCTGTAGTTCTGGTCAGTACATCCCTATTCTTATCTATTTGGTGTCAAACGTGTTTGGGCGTTAGATTTTAGAGGGTTTTCGTCTATCTAATTATCCCATAGTCACTATAAGAAGGTTCCCTTTTACATCGCTAACGAAGTTGAAGCTTGTTTTAACGGTGAGACTGTATGAGTGCTAGTAACACTGCCCAGTTGTCCAAAGTAAACTAAGATTAACGGAACACAAACCCGTAATTAAATTGTTATGAATCGTGAACTGCCTTAACCGGCGTTGGTGAGACATGCTATGGCAGAAACGGGTTATCTAACTTTCATTATTTGAATTCGTCACGTCTCATTAACTTCGTTGCTTCGTTATCTTGTGCACAATATGTATTGTCATGTTTATTGAATATCATTATTATCTCTCCTCAGTCAATAAATTGTCGAAATAATTAGGTTACTAACGTTTTACTGATTTGTGCGATGTAATGTAAATGTTAGAGCTACGTCATACAGTTGCCGTTTCTCTACAATTGTTATATTTGGAAATTTGTCTAGAAGTACTCTGAACGTGACGCCGATTATACAAGGGATCTCGAAGTAAAAGACATTGCTTGCTTGGTATTGTGACTGGTTGATGCTCATTACTGAAAATTAAGTTTTTAAAGATTCTTTCCTATTTGTTATGCAGATCATTACTTTGAACTGAAACCGTGCTACTTCCATATTCTTCACATTTAAAACAACCAATAAAAGATTTTGTGGTTTACATTCTATCCTTCAGCAATAAGTTAAATCAGATTGCTTATAATTGGCGGAAAATTCTTTGAATCCATATTTCGTAATGCAGTGGAAATCTAAGAAAATTGAGGCAAAGGATACTACTTTCAATCCTGACAATATTGGTGATATCGACTTCAGTAGTGAAGATCTTGAACAGGAATTACTTGACTTATTGCATAATGATCCAACCCTTGAGATTTCTAATAAATCTTCGTCTTTTGATCAGGTAAGTAGAATTAGTGTTTAACCGTGATCTAGGATTATGTACAACACAATTGGTTTAATCGCTCGAAGTTCAGCAAATGAACTGTTTTTATCAAGAAGTGTATTTTAAATGCTCTTCCGTCTTTAGTTGTTAACAGCTTCATAATATGTGAGGGATCTGGATATGCAAAGGAAAAACGTACCGATAGTTTTGTGATAATTAGGATGTTGACTTCATTCGAAACACCATATGCTCGAAACTGATTAGGTTTATATATGGACCTTGAGTACTAAGTTACAACTCAAGATTCTTAACTGTGTCGCATCAGGCTAGGGATTCGATGCTTAACTCCTTATTCGTAGTGCTAACTATTTTTTACTGCCATTGCGTTCATGCTTGTAGGTATTTTATCATCTAGATTTTGATAATCTTATGTCGAGATAATTATCCAGAGTTTAGAAAAACAAAAAACTTCACTTTTACTGGGTGTAAATCGTTTTATTTTCTCTGTAGCCTCTGAAACAATCGATTTTGTAGACTCAGAAATGTTATGCCATCATATATATCTTTTATTATAATTTTAGTTTCTTTTCGAAATTCTTTTAAGTAAATGCCTCCTCTTGGGAAGTTATAAGTTAACCATGAAGATAAATATATAACAAAACGTGGCGCAAATGTCCCCATCCAACACAGAAGACTAAGATAGCTAAAACAAGCGGTTAATGTAATGCTGCCAACAGTAGTCGAATAATGTAGATGATGAGAGGGAGTAGAATTCACACAATAAGATAATAATGTTTGTGATCATTAAAGTTGAATACATTTTCGCTGGTACGATGTATTTTGAGCTAAAAATTGGTATCTAGCCGTTGATTACAATTATCTGGTGGGATCCCCCCAAAACCCCTCAACTTTCCTATGTGATTCCGGCCTAAGGTGGATGACTCCGAAAGTTAGCTTTCTTGTCTTCCCTTATCATGGTGTTAAATATAATAACATAAATAGTCTATTGAAAAATTCTTGTCTTTGTGTATGTGGTGAATTACATCATTATACGTTCATCATAACTGAATTAAGATAATTTTTGGGTGGATTAAAGCAGGCAACATTGTAGAAGTTATGTTCCTCAGCCCGAGGATCAAGGGATTAAACTTTCGACCTTCGGAGAAAAAAAGATGGTCATTGTATGCAGTCAAAATAAAATGGAAAGGCATTAATTACTTTTCAGGGATTGATCTAACACGAGATTTACTCGTTGACTTGGAATACGCAGATAATATAGTTTTGTTTGGCGAAGATGCTGACGAAATGCACTCTTCTGTTCATCTTAAGCAGCAATGCAATCGTGTTTAGGATGCGGTTCTCTCCATCCAAATGTAAAGTGTTACTTCAGGATTGACTTGAGTCATCGCCTGAATTAATGATAGGGAGTGAAGCAATTGAATGCATCGACCGCTTTAATTGTCTTGTGAGTCTCATCAGTATTGATGATCTGGTGTCTGACGAAGTCTCTGCACGAATTCGGAAGGCTCACTTGGCTTTCGTTAACTTGCATCACTTACGGCGCAGGCAAGATATCCATCTATCAACCGAAGGACGACTTTACCATGCAGTAACTTGTTCCGTTCTACTTTATGGTTGTGCAGCATTTCCATTAAGAGTAGACGATGTTCATAGGTTATTGGTATTCTATCATAGGTGTCTTTGCTTTTGTATTTTGGGACCACTGAGTAAATAGTGTCTGGGTTAGCAGTAGATCACTAGGTAAAGATGGGAAATCGATTAATGAGTTAGTACATCATCAACTGAGGTGGTTGGGACACGTTTTACGTATGACTAACCACTATCTACCTCGACGGGGGATGTTATTTGGTGCGGGACTAGGTTTAAAAAAGCTATGGGCGGCCAAACCAAAAATATGGCATCAGTCTATAAAAGCGCTAATAGATCTAGACTACTTGGTCGGCGTCTACTTGGTTACAGTAACCAATGGTTAGAGACTTTGAATGACATGGCCGAAAATCTTATGCAATCGGGAACGTAAATCCATTCTTTGTCTTCTCCGGAATTCTGAGATTCTAAATCGTGCATAACATTTTTTCTATTTCGCTAATTTATATTTTCTCGAGTCGTGTCTTCGATGCTTAATTTTTCCCGCTACCACTGATACTTTTACCACCTGTACTGTTCATGGATTTGACCTGATAACTTAATCGATTTGTGTTAATGCGGTATGGCAACTTGAACCGATGTGCATACATACCAGGTCTTACATTGCGACTGATTGACTAACTGACTGAATATTTGTAAGGTCAACTAGGCGATAGTTATTTACTAAATTTTGTGATCAGTTTTATAAATCGAACTACGTACCAGACTACTCTATGACTGACTGAAGTACTTTTTTGTACCTAATGATCCAACACAATCCCTGTAGTCATATGTGAATGATTGTTAGACTTATAATCATATGACGTCAGATATGGCTGTTATATATATATCCTTCATATTTCGTACAATAACTTGAAAAACATTCATAAGAACTTCTCATTGCATTATCGAAATTTATCAAAGGGACCAATTGTTTTAAAATTCATAAGAACATTCCTTGCTTGAATATTAGATGAATATTCCTATAATTTCGAATCTTAGAAATGATCTATTTATTTATTTATTTATTTATTTGAACACAAATATTGGTACAAGAATGCGCCACACAAAACAATGAGAATTTAAGGGGAAGGAGAAAAAAAAAGAGATTGATGTAAGGTGGTGTAATAGTAATGATGGTAAAAATGGCGGAACAGACAGGTACAATCAGAAGAAATCTTTCAGTTAAGGGAGACACAACCACTTTTTATGAAGAAAGTAAAAGAAGATTACAGCAGGATCGCCACTGGCTTCTATTCTGAGCCATATCTGATAACGTCTCTAGCCACTGTGTAACACCATCTCTAGGACCCCAGCCAGGGAGTCGTGAAGGACCAACAGAAGCCAGTCCTTTGCAGCTTTCTTTCATGCCACGACACCATGTCATATACTGACCACCTCTCCGCTTCTTCCAACCAGTCCCAGAGTCGGCAAATAATGCACGACGTGGAATTCTCTGAGACGACATTCGTAGAACATGTCAAAGCCACCGACGTCGGTGTTTCAAGATGGTGACACCAATTGCATTATCATCTCTGTGCCCGAACAAACGATGCCGAACCTCTGCATTACTAACATGGTGTTGCCACTGGATGTCAGCAATCCTTCGAAGACAGCGATGATCGGACACAGAGAGTCGTCTAACGTCCTCAACTCGGAAAGGCTAGGTTTCACAAGCATAGAGAGGAACTGCTCTCACCGACGCGTTGTAGATCCGACCTTTTACAGCCAGACTAACATCACGAAGGCGTCAAAGGTGGCCCAGATTGGCATAAGCCGCTCTGGCTTTCATTATACGTGCATTGATCTCATCACTCACACCCCCACCAGCACTCATACAGCTACCCAGATACACGAACTTCTCGACTACTTCTATCTGCTCACCATCCAGAGTGAGTACAGGGTTAGAATCCTGCCAGTCTTGTAGAAGTACTTTGCACTTCGAAGGTGTAAAGCACATACCATACCTACGGACACTGATTGCCAACTGATTAAGTGCGCATTGCATGCCTTGGGCATTGTCGCACAGTAAGACAATATCATCCGTATACTCAAGGTCGAGAAGTCTTTCTCCAGGCAGCAGATCCACACCACCATTACCTACATCCATCAGAGCTGTTTCCAGAATGTCATCGATGGCAAAGTTGAAGAGGAATGATGAGATTGGGCAACCCTGCCTAACCCCACTACTCATATGGAACAATGGAGAAAGATGGTTGTATGCCCTCACTCTACCTGAGGTGTTTGTATATAGGGCTTTTAGGATGTTAATAAACTTCTCAGACACACCCTTCTTCAATAGACAATCCCAGAGAACAGCCCTGTCCAACGAATCGAAGGCAGCCCTGATGTCAAGAAACACTACGATTGTTGGCCTTTGAAAAGTATGGCGGTGTTCTAACATTTGGCGGAGGGTGAAGATATGATCAATACATCCTCGACCAGAACGAAACCCAGCCTGCTCCACGCGAGTCAATCTTTCTCGGGTTTTGAACAACCTACGAAGAATGACGGAAGCCAATAGCTTGGACGCAATCGGAAGTAGACTTATCCCCCGATAGTTGTTACAGAAACGACGTGAACCCTTTTTAGAGATAGGGACAACTATCGACTCATTCCATGACGTTGGTACACTCTCTAACTCCCAGACCTTTGTAAACAACGTCGTCAATTCCTTAGTCAGAAAGTCACCACCATCTTTAAAAAGAGCCGGAGGTAAGTCATCTGGACCAGGTGATTTGTAACGCTTCAAGAGTTGGAGTTCCTTGCGGACTTCCGCCTCGTTTGGTGGATCAGTCGTCACCGGCCATGGAGGGCAGGACAGTCTGACCGATGTTGCCGGAGCAGCAGGCCAGTTGAACTGCCCTTCAAAAAATTCTGCCCATCGTCCAAGACGTCGATGGATGTTAGTGATTGGCATCCCATCATCCTCGCAGATTGTTTCACTCACACTAGACTTCTTGCTGCCAGTGGCTCGGATGAGCTGGAAGAGCTTCCGGTAGTTACCAGATACAGCTGCTGCTTCCAGCTCATTAGCACGCTCCGACCACCAGGCTTCTCGGTCCTTACGCAAGCTTTGCCCAATTTCCTTACGTAACATCCTTCGTTTATGGTCAAACTGACGGTCACCCGGAGTAGACCGACGGGCTTCAATGAGTTGTAAGGAACCAGAAGAAACCCAGTGCTTATAAGCGGGACGTTTCGCGAACCCACAACTGACTGTACCCGCCATTTTCATGGCGTCATGCAATTGCAACCAATGCTCATCTATACTTTTCAGTGGAATGGTAGCTAGCCTAGAGGCTAGCTCAGTTCGATACTTACTTGCAACAGAAGTTGCAACCAACTTGCTAACATCAATCCGTTGATGGAGGTCACTTCGTTGGCCACTGAAAAGTAAGGTAAGATTGGCGCAGACCAAGGCATGGTCAGAGTCCAGATAGGTACTCCAGAAGGAGCGGCAGTCTTGTACACAACCACGCCAGCGGTAGCTGATCGCAATGTGATCAATATGAGTCCAGGCTTGAGATTCAGAGGGAGGACGCCAGGTGTTACATCGGCGATCACTATGGCGGAAGTTAGTGCCAGCCAGAAACAGGTTGTGGTCTGTGCAAAGTTGCAGTAGACGGTCCCCGTTATCTGACCTGCGACCATCGAGTCCCCATCGGCCACCTAAACGACTCTCTTCTGTGCCTAGACGTCCGACCTGAGCATTCAAGTCTCCGGCTAGTACTACAATATCTGTCGAACGCACTTTCTGGAGAAGAACAGATAACTGGTGGTAGAATTCATCCTTGATTGCATCCGGGCTGCAATCTGTCGGACCATAGGCGGAGATGACGAAAAGACATAGTTTCTCACATCGATTTCTTCTCACTTTGATGGAACTTTCTAATCTAACAGCACATAACCGACTGTTAGTGAGGACCCAATCGATTAGTGCTGCCTCAGCTCTAGCGCTTAGTGCGACACCAACGGCAGCAAGACGAGACGAAGATGCCACGGAGTCCCCGGATAAACGCACGTAAAACAAGCTTTTCGAAGCGACAGATGGAGAGCGAATTTGTAGTACTTCACCAGTCTTGAATAGGGGTCTCGGATAGACAGCAAACATCAATATTAAGACTTTCCAAAGACATAGCCAGCCCGATCTGTTGTCCGACCTGCATAAGTGTGCGAACGTTGAAGGCAGCCAGTTTGAATGGTGCACGTGGTTTCAGAAAAACTGCTTCAGTACTCATATTCGGTGGTAACATACAATTTTCAACCAGGCAGTGACTCGAGAACGTTTAGATAGAGTCGAATTTCCACCAAAAACGAGCTGCTGTATAAACTGAAAAAATAAGTATAGACGGAGTAGGAATAAAAGAGGGTGAATAATGATGTAGTAAATAATAATAACAATAACAATAATAATAATAACAGTAATGATAATAATTTAGATCATTTGACTGTTATTCGGAGCGAGAAATGTAGTTTCCATAGATATAGAGAGTTCATTATTTGCGTGTGGGCTGTGATACTGCCCGGGTGCCCAGACCGAAGCAGGTGGTTATCTTAGGGGGCCACACCCCGAGCCTTTGACCTAAAGGTCTAACCCACAAGGCAGTGGAGCATCGTAAGGAGATGCATTCCCATGGTAGCCGGTGACCGAAAATTGGTTCATACGCCATTCGTTCCCGCAGGATACTGGAGCCCATGTGTACCATTGATTTGGAATCCGGTTAAAGCGCCGGACATTCGCTTTTCGTCCTCTCATTTTCGTAAACAACACCCCTGCCACGAGAAGGCAGTGCGTAGGACTTCCCTGGCAGAGGCTATATACGCGTGGCCGTGTGAGAGCATTTCGAGAGGGAGAGCGGACTCTCCCCACTCTCGGCTGTACCAGGGCATTTGGCCTAAACATGTATTTGTTCTCATTTCACAAACACTGTGTAAGAGTAAAAGATGATACTCACTGGCTGAATCCAAGTGTGTGGCTTGCTTTGATTTTGTAAACCAATAGGTAGAATTTAGTGCTCTGAGCACATCTAATTTACTGTTTTATTGTTTTCGCATTACATCCTGTGTATCACCATCACACTGAAAGTATGTTGATCATAAAATTGAAGATGATAGTAGCCAGTGTAAATCTTGAAACAGTTTCCGGTTTCCACAGTTGTTCATTGCTTCGAGCTGTTTAACATTACTGTTATCTGAAGTTGATAGGAGTAAGAAGATTTATAAGCTCCATAATCTTGAGTGCATATCCCCCTTTTTAAAACAAAGCCGGAATACCGATTGCCACGACGCGCAATGCTGACTAATGTTGGGTATGGTTGGAAGAAAGTTAGGGATGGCCAAACCAAAACGTGGCATCAGTCCCTGAAGTCACTGACTTCTAGTCTGAGCCATGTTGGTAGATGCAGACTAATTGGTCGCGGTCCGCGTGACTATCGTAACCAATGGTTGGAGACTCTAGGTAACATAGCTCAGAATTGATGACAATGACGTAGGTGTTTGCACTCACTATTTTCCCTTAAGCTGAGATTAAAATCGCTTCATATCTTTCTTTCTACGAACTAATTCTTTCTTTCTGCACTATATCCTTATGTAAAATCTTTCTTTTATATATTACACCATTGAGTTAACTGCTTCTGTGAATCCGGTGTTCATCTTGTGCTAATGAGGTGTGGCAACTTGGACCGACACATATATGTGCCTGGTCCTACGTTGTAACTGACTGACAGCTACTACAGTTCTGTTTACTTGACTGAAAGTCTGTAAATCAATAGCACATCAAGTAAACCTACGCTTGTTTCTTTATTCAAAAGGTTCAAATTATTTTCCTCTTACAACTACCTGTAATAGCCTGAAAGATGTTTAAACAATGTGAAGTCAATTATTTTACGTATAGAATTATATATTTAATTCACTTTTTATGCTTTTATAGGATGAAAAAAACTGTGATGAAGACGATGAATTGTTACTTGCTGAACTAGTAAAATCAATGGAAAGTGGGAAATCTGCTGTACCTAACAGAGCTAATAAGATGGATGAATTAGAAATCAACGAAGATATTTTCGGCAATCAAAAGACAAGTACTGGTAGTACTTCCAAGTCGCCTCATCAAACATCGGGGTTCGAAGGAAGTGATTTTGGATCGTCATTGCTGAGTTCTCCAAGAAACAGTGGTCTGACAACGAATTCAAAGGTAGTTATCATGCTTTAGTTTGTTGCTTTATGTGAATATACGAAATACGAGTTGCGTTTCTTATTTGTTAGAAATTTTAGTGAAGGACCGTTTTATATGTCAAAGAGTATTGCTTCATACACTTAACAAAAGCTTTTCTCTCGTAATGAATCTCCTCACTGTTGACATATACATATACATACATAATTTCAAGGGCAAAGTTGCTATACTGATACTTATAGATTAAGTATATAAAATCGCGTCATATTATTAGGATTTAAATGCAGAGGAAGACGAGGGTATCATCGAAGAAACGTTTACAATGTTTTCGTAAATTTCTCTGTCGTGTGTCTTATGTTTCATCAAAAATATAACGCTGTTGTCAAACCATACTCGGTTATATTTAAAATTCATAAGTCAAATAATTATATAGATCGCATTCAGACATTGGTGTATACAACGTACCACGGAATTAACGACTGAACGTCATTTAACACATTAGTGATAGAATGTTATAAATTTTTTAGGTCAAGATTGAAGTCTAGATGTTATTACCAGGTTCAGTTCTTGTTGGCCATATCAGAAGGTTATAAATATATCTATTTGAAATGGCTGTACCTTTACAAGGATTCTTCTATAGACCTAATAGGTTTTGTAATCCTCAATTAATTGAGCTTAAGAAGAAAACCCTGTCGCTGTTCATTGTTCATGGTGAACTGATTTACGAGAATTCACTTTGACGATCCACATATTCTGTAAAAGTCAACTTCGGCGGTCTATAATACCAAATGAATGCTATTTCCATAAAATATGAGCGATACTTATAAGTCAATGTTGATGGAATCTACAGCAATCTCACTGATACTTATTTTGGAAAGCAAATATTTTAATTAAACACATATATTCCAGAAATTATAGAATACGCATTAATTTACAAGGGTAATTAGGTTGGTACAATATGGGTCCAACATATAAAAAGAAACGTAGATTGTTTAAAAATATATGATACGTAAATTGTTTGGGATTGGAAACCTACTAAAAAGATATTGGTAATGCGAAGCATATGGCGGTAACAGTTTCTATAGCTATTTTAAAATAGACTGAATACCGATATTGGTGGCTACATTGTCATTCCGGGTAGCTTCGTCTAATCAGTCGACTGGAATACCGTCACTTCAGCTTTTGCCAACGGTATAACAGCAAAAAAGTCAAGATACAAAGTGGTTAGAAATATTATACTTCAGACATGCAACTCAGGCGATCAGACCGCTATCAAGGAAGAGTAAGTGTAGGGATTGTCGTGTGGTATGTAGAATGACTTGACAGTTAATCAGTGCGTGAATTGTTTAATCGGTTTATATGGACTGAATGGACAATAGACAAACAAGCACAAATCGATTCACACTTATATTAAAATGTATGTGGATAAAAGTTGTCCTTAGTTATTTGAATCAGTACGAAGTAATTAGTAGGATCAAAATGACACATGAACGTTGGGCTTTATACCAGTTCAGAATGCCCTTGTTTGGGCGTTCGCTGTAGGCAAATAATATAAAGCTGTTACATCATAACAGATGACTTGGCGATAAAATGTTCAGATATTATGAAAATCTAATATTTTGTTTTTATGTACTTCTTGTTCTTTGATAGAACGGGACAAATTGTGATAACGACGATGAATTGTTACTTGCTGAACTAGTAAAATCAATGGAAAGTGGGAAATCACCTGTATCGAACAGAGCTAATAAGATGGATGAATTAGAAGTCAACGAAGGAGATATTTTTGATGATCATAAAATAAGTACTAGTAATACATCCAACAGTGGTTCAGTGACAAATCCAAAGGTTGTTATCATACTTCAGGATATATATATATTACTAGTGACCTCAATAATAAAAACGATTAAACTTTCAAAGTTCTCATAATCTCACTTGTGAAATGGAATATACTTACAGGTGTAAGTACATTTAAAGCATTTTCAGGGGAAGCATCGATGCAGCGAACAAAGGATGAGAGTGACTTTATCTCACGGATAGATTGTGGCAAATTATACCAGAGTCTGGAAAGTTTGCTGGTAAAGTAATTCACATGGTGATAAGATTTAGAATATTCTGGGAACGGTCGAACAAATACTTTATTCATCAAAGTACGTGACTCGTTATTATAGAGGTTACGAATTATGCAACCCAGAAGACGTTAGGACTTGTAGGTCTGTTTCGAGACCTGTTCTGTGAAAGACCAGTTGTAGTAGTTTTAACATGTGCAGAACAAAAACTGATATGAGGATAAAGTTTTTATAAATCGTTAAAAATAATGATAATTATTACACAAACTCATAATGCTTTAAATCATTGTTTTTCGACTACATTAACCTTAAACCAATGAATAGTTATAAATTGAAACTTACTTTAATTACTTTTGCTTATTACGAAACTAGATAGTATCATTGGTTTCTTCACAAGATTTTTAACTCGTAAAGTAGTGATTAATTTACATAAATTCTGTCCGTGAAGTATCTAAAAAGTTCTGGTTTCAATTACGTGAGTTAGGGGGTTATAAAGGTGCTTATTATTGAGAAGTTTTAAACTAAGAAGAAAGCTGCTGATTACGTTAATACTAGATAGGGTCTGGATTATCCTATTATTGATATTCAGGACTGAATCCCGAAGTGGGATTCAGGTCTTGAGTTATGTCCTATTTGAAACTCGTACTTTGGATCCAGATTCATGCTGCATATGAGTACCAAATAGGGAGAAATTCTCGTCCCAAATTCCACTGCTAACCACAGTCCATATATTCTAAAAACAAGTTTTTTAATGCTTCTAAGCTTTTATCCGTCCCACAACTCGTTATTGATTTGTGATAAGTGCTGTTTTAATTTCCCTTTTATTGAACCTTAAATTTTGTTGACTGAAATTACATTTTATTCTTATTTAAAATTAAAATATATTTAATTAACAACTGGCAAAGGTACCTTCAAATAATAATGCTTTGGGAAATAGTTCAGGAAGTACTTTAAAACCGACTGCCGCTGATGTAAAACCTGATATTCGTCAAGCTGTATTGGATTATATCAATCCAAAAACTTCTAATTCTGGTCTAGATTTATTAAAAAATCGTCATAAAGAATACAAAGTGAGTTTCCCTTTTCTTTCAAAACATCATCCGTTTATCGTCCTTGAAGCATATTAGATTTCTGTTGGATTACTTTGCCTTGAAGATTTCCTATTCAGTTAATTATTGTCAACAGTTATTACGATTATACAATAGTAAATGTTAGTTTGAAGTCTATTTCAATTATATCCATTTCTAAGTAGAACAAAGTAAATTTGTAGAATAGTTTATACTATGATTGTTTTACTTTTCTTTGTTATACACTTTTTTATTATATCAATTGTTTGGTTTATTTCTACTCTGGATGTACACTACTCTATTTCTGATAACTGGAAAAAGTCAAATTATGGGTGCTGTATAGGAATGCCGATGGTGTAATCCAGTTTTAACTTTTTTTTTAAACTCCACCCTTCAAGTTGCAAACATAAATGATTCATGCAAATCATAGTATGGAAATAAATAAATCGAGCCCATGTAACCAAGACTCTAAGACAAAATATAATGAAATTTTAATTTGTTTGTCACTAGTATGTTGTGTTCCTGATCAGTGGAGTTTCTTGTATTAGTTTATCTTGTATCTGTTTTTCCATCTTTTCAAAAAAAGCTTTCTTGAACGCTCGAATCTAATCCGATTGTTTTTCTAAAGTTGTCTCAAAGTTCAACATTCCGTATTTCTATTGATTAGTGAAATTCATAAAATAATAGACTCAACTTCAAACTTTTTATATAATGTAGATTTTTTCAGAATCGTAGAAATATCTTAAGTAACTCATGTAAATAAGACGCACAAAATTAAGGGTAAAATCTTTCAGTTTATCATGAGTTTGTGAATGCTAGAAATCAGTACAGTAGGTTAATAACTCAACAACAATACTTGCCGTTAAGTGTGAATTTATGTCAGGTGTTTAAATGTAGTTGACAGCCTAACATTTCAATGTGATCCACAGTGTCGAGTCACTCATACCAGTTGTCACATTGCAACTTAATTGATAGGATTCGATCAAGAATAAAAAGGACTGGAAAAATGTAACACTGGTCACTATTCATTAAGATGAATACTGTAAAAATACGGGATTTTTATTTGCTGTTTGCAAACTTAAAGTATTGATTTGTCAAAATAAATTATATTTGCGTCCTAGGTAGATACATTTTGTAAAAAAATATAAAAAATTATCTATCATTTAATCATCCTTTTAAAATCTATAGTGAAAAACAAATTTCTTAATACTTATTTGCAGAATAAGCAGATTATAATACATATAAACCTAATGTAAACATTTAAAAAACTCAGGTATTACGTCATAGTGCTTCTATCATATCACTTATCGTGTGTATTTCAGGTTCTAAAATGTAGATTAACGGGATACGTTTTCTTCCCTTTTTCAAACCATTGTCTTATAGATGATGGCTATTCCCATATGATTTGATTTGTTTAGTTGATTTTCATAGTTTACACCACAGACTGACCTTGGTTGCTCAGCATTATGAATCAATTGAAGTTAGAAATGCAAATTATTGGGTACAAACCTACCGGTTTAAAAGTTAAGCCCACGCCGCGGGATATGAGGATCCCATATTCGATCCTTGGAGGGGTCGTGGCTGTGTATTTTTGGGGAGTCCCATACTAGTACAAAACAACTTTTCGGTGCTCCCAGGTTTTTACCGATTTTTCAATCGATATCCCTTCGTAATGTAAACCATGCAGTCCGAAGACATTTATGAACTCTCTATACTATATTGCATTTTAGTATATTCATTATATAACCAATTATTTCAGGCTCCATGTTCTGATTTGTGCTGTGTATTTTTACATCTTCCAACTTCCTTTTTAACCATTTGATCACAGTTTTGAATCGTATTCTATCTAATACCTCTGAATAATCTTTTTTGTTTGACTCAGTAAATGTAAATCATAGCTTTGTTGAAGAACTTATCTGTACTAATTCTGTTCTGTGAGTTCTATTGTTAGGTTGGTGAAAATTTTACTAATACTTTAGTGGTTGGTATTTTAGTCAAAATACCTATTTTTTTCTAACTGATTAACTCTAGACACAGTACGTACCTATAACACTAGTAGGACAGATCAATATTTAAACATAAATATTGGTGTGTTAAGAATTGTGTGGGTTTACGTGTATTTAACAAGAATCATCCGTTTTCTGTGAAATTCAGGTCAAATTCATTTATGGGACCAAAATATATTGTGCTTTGTGTGAACATGATATTCTAGATCGTTAGAGATACATTTTTATATACTTCAGATTGTGTTTTAAGAGCTTGGTTTTTTAAAATTATCTCACTGTCGTCTGTTCTCATGTTTTGTTTTTTTAAGAAGATCCGGAGTGTAGTACTCATTCTCTTATTATGTATTGTTGCATAAACAGCTGTACACATGTAATAATGTATGAGTATCAAACAAGCTTGACTTATGTTAGCTACTTTCTCAATTTTTAGAATGCGATCTATGAAATAACTGATTGTTAAAAATCTTTTCAGACGTTTTATTTGATAATTTATCAAAGAATTATGAATAGTTTATGGAAATCGATTCATATTTGTAGAAAAATAAACGGTGTCAAAGTAGACATATTTCTTTACAACGATTGAAATATTTCGATCGTACTTAACGTACGGTTTTGACTTTAACGACACACAGTACGCTTTTATGTCACCAAATCCAGTGTTTCGAGATGATGTTAACGGTCAAAAATGATAATATGTACTGTGCCCGAACACGCACTGTTGAGCTTCATCATGAGTCAGTGTTGTTAGAGATTGGTAGCTGACGTTCAGAGGCCCGCTCATGACCGAATATCATGAATTTACAAAGCCCAGTTTTATTTCCTCAAGTATTAGTTCTATGACATCAACCCTACTCATTCTCCTTAGTACTTTCAAAATTGAGTCAATTGTAAGATCGAAGGGGAATGAGAAAAATTGGAAAACTTCCTCAGTATCCTAACCCTATTGTTTGAAGTAAAAATGGTGGTAAAATGGATTGTGCGCGATGGCTTTCACGATATTATTATCCTGTTTAATTTCTTACTCACTTTGCTTTTTGCCTTCGAAGGATGAGCATTTCATTTATTTACTTATTTATTTGATATGTAAGTAATTTTCATATATACTGTTATCATTATGTACATAAGTTAGCTGCTTTGAAAGCTCGGGATACAGGCCAACTAGGGAAAGCAAAAGAATTATTGGAAGCATCAAAATGTATTGGAGAAGCTATCGTGAATATAGAAGCTGGCAAAGAAACATTCGATCCAGAGACAGACTTACCTCCTCCGCCATCGGAGTATGAATTCTCTAATGAGGGGGATCCAAACAATGAAACTGTGATCGCTCAGCCACCACCTTCATCTCAGCCTGTAAAATCGACTATACCAGATATTATGAAAACGTCTATTGTTTGCACAGAAAATATCTTAGCTCGTATAACCTACTATAAAGTATGTTTCGAAATATCGTTTTTAAATCTAAGTTCACTGGTGTATATAGTCTATATTAAATCTTATTATTATGTTATCAACGACTAATTTAATTGATGTTGTAAAATTTATCATATAATGTATAGTTTAACTAGTAGTCAATCTAGTATCTTATTGATCTCGATCCTAATTAAGACAAAAAATGTAATTCAATAACCAATTTGATGAAGTTAAGTGATTACGTATTTATTATTCACGTTACAGTTAACCAAAACAATTGGTAATAGTTATTGCCAGTTTAATAGGATTTCATATAATGTTGATAAAAATCATTCAGTCAGTCAGTCAGCTACAACGTAGGACCAGGCACATATGTGCATCGGTCCAGGTTGCCATACCTCATTAGCACAGCAAGATGAACAGCGGATTCATAGGAGTGGTTAGGTCAAAGGTTGCAATAAGGATATAGTATAGGAAGAAAGAATTAGTTCGTAGACAGAAAGAATGAAGTGATTTTAGTCTCTTGATTTAAGGGAAGACAGGGAGTGTATACACCGACGCCATTGTGATCGATTCTGAGCCATGTCACCAAGAGTCTCCAACCATTGGTTACGAAAGTCACGCGGACCCCAACCAAGTAGTCTGCATCTACCAACATGGCTCAGACTAGAAGTTAGTGACTTCAAGCACTGATGCCACGTTTTGGTTTGGCCGTCCCTAACTTTCTTCCAACCATCCCCTACCCCGGTTAGCATTGCACGTCGTGGTAATCGGTGTTCAGGCATACGTAATACGTGGCCCAACCATCTCAGTCGATGAAGATTCATAACCTCATCAACTGATTTACCATCATTCCCTAATACCCTGCGTCTAACCTCACTATTACTTACCCGGTGATCCCAGCAGATACCAGCAATATTTCTAAGGCATCTGTGGTCAAATGCTAGTAGCTTACGGGTGTCTTCTACTCTTAATGGCCATTGATTGGAATTCTATTGAAACGTCGATCTTCCCTTGAAATACAATCACTATCATTACATACAAAAGTGTATGTTATTGCATCTCTGTGCTTGATTGGTTTACTTGATCGAATAATGCAAATAGTCATTCGGTTAGCAATAGAAAAGTAACTAAATATCAGACACAGCTTTGAACATAGGTTTGTGATTGGTAGTGAAATGTAGGACGCGCATTTCGTCCTCATTGGGACTCATCAGCTGGATATACCTGCATCTCAGAGTTGATGTTCCTTCCTTGGTTAAAACTCAATACTATATCCAGTCCGCTACTGAGTTTGATAGTCACTAGCTTATGTGATGGGGTGGATTTCAATTCACATGTTTTGGTTATTTGAATCTTCTCTAGTAGTGGAAAACCATACTATGTTAGTACAGTTACAAATGAGTCACAATGGGAATATCCTCAGCATCCAGTCATATCCACAAATAAAGTTCGATGCTTACATTTACTAGTGAAGCATAATGAATCTCGCCCGACCGAAGCTGCTACCTTGACGCGGTGGTCGGGCTTGCCTACCGTGATGACCCAACCGAGCTATATTGGCTGGAACATATGTTCCTGTAGGTAGGTAGGTCGATTGGAGAACAGTAAGACTAAAAGCAGCAACTCAAGGTCTGAGGACGAAGTCGTACTGCTGACTGTACAGAGGTGTGACAGCAGTAAGGTGTTTCCTTCAGACAACCAGCATGACAGCGATGCTGCCTTCCCACAAGGAGGAGTGGGGTTAGAAAAGGTCGACCCTAAAAATGTCATATCTCACCTTACCTCACGGATTTCCGTCTCTGGCGGTAAGGCCCTTTGAAAAACGGAGCTAACACATTAAAAACCTCCCACGAAAAGGCCGTGCGCGACCGGCCTCAAGCAGTTGTCCCTTTGGGCTCTGCGGTCACGCTCCCAGGTCGTTAAGACCAACACTAATCCAATTTCCTTTTCAGGTTCCTCAAGAAATACCCTTCCACGGTGTGGGCAGCTGGGAAGTGACATCAGCCCTCATACCCGTAACACCACACGAGACCAAGTTGGTCACATTCAAATCCTTCCTACACCTCCTAATACCTCTCTTATCTCCATGACTAACCCTCCTCACATCTCTTTATCACCTCGCACCGCTAGGGCAAACGATTCGAGTACGTGGAACGCTTTTCCTGGTCTCCTGAAATCACGCTCTAAACTACATGTAGGAGCTCTTAACGTCCGAACACTGGGCCAAATAGGACAGCAGGCTTCGTTAGCTAGGACTTTAGAATCCCGCCCCATCGATGTGTGCTGCGTCTCCGAAACGCGCATATAGGATCCGAGTAGCGTCATTCATTTGACCTCACCATGCCAAAATAAAGAACCGACTCGATTCACACTTCGTATATCTGGAAGCCCTGATTCTGCTTCCCGTGGCCTCGCCGGCGTAGGTATGGCATTGAGTCCTAGGGCAGAACTAGCTCTCTTAGAGTGGATCCCAGTAGACAATCGTTTGTGCGCTGTCCGACTGAACGGAACAGTAAGGATCCGAAAAGATAGGGACACTCGTCGTTGCCTCTTCGTCGTTTCTGCCTTTTCTCCCTCTGACTTCAGCGCAGATGATGTAAAAGATTAGTTTTACAGAAAGCTCTCCGACCTTCTCCAAAAAGCTAGGCGCTCTGATGTAGTAATAGTGGCTGGTGACTTTAATGCTCAAGTAGGTAAACTAAGCGATAGGGAAAGACACCTAGGTGGATCTTATAGTGTCGTGGCTCAAAGAACAGATAATGGCGACCGTCTGTTGCAGCTTTGCTCAGATAACTGCCTGTTCCTTGCAAATACTAACTTTATGCATAAGGAAAAACATCTTTTAACATGGCGACCCCCTAATTCGTCCCAACGTTGGACCCAAATAGATCACATCGCTATTGGCCACCGATGGAGGGGCTCGATAGAAGACTGTCGCTCATTCTGGAGCACATGCTTAGACTCAGATCATGCTCTAGTGTGAGCGCGTATTTGTATGCGTCTTACTGGATGTAAGAAAGACGCTGCAAGTAAACCTCTTAGGGTCCTGTTTAATGATAGTCAATCTAAGATTATATTTCAGAAACAACTAGGAAAACAGTTAGGCAGCCATGTAAGTGATGCCCACCCCCAGGCAGCACGGAATGATATCCGAAAAGCTGTGGAAACAGCAGTGATATCTGCTAGTAAGGTAAACCACAAGGTTAGGGAGCAACACTGGATCTCAGCAGCATCTATCGCACTGATAGATGCTCGGAAACTCATTCCACCTGGCTGTACATAATGAAGAGCGGAGTCAGCTTAAGCGCAAGCTGACAAGAAGTCTACGCAATGATCGTGAGCAGTGGTGGGTAGCGAAAGCAAGAGAGATGGAAAAGGCAGTAGCAATAGGTAATAGCAGACAATTGTTCAGACTTGTTAAGGAAACCGACTGTTAGCGAAACACTCTCAGAGAAAGATGGACATATTATACATTCTCAATCCAGGAGATTGGATCGATGGGCAGAACACTTTAGGGATCAGTTCAACTGGCCTTCAGTCACACTTCGGTTTCCCACGATCTCCAGTCAACCTAATGGCAAGTTAATGTAGGTCGTCCGTCTCTTTACGAAGTTGAAAAAGCCATAGGAAATCTGAAACGAGGGAGAATAGCAGGCCCTGTTAGGTTCACTCCTGAGATTTTTAAGGATGGTGGTCCAGTATTAACAGTGAGATTAACTGAGGTCGTAGGTGGGATCTGGGAACTGAACGTAATCCCATCTGACTGGTCTCAATCACTGATTGTGCCCGTCTACAAGAAAGGACAAAAGTCCTCTTGTGACAATCACAAAGGAATCAGTTTGACTAATATAGTGTCTAAAATGTTAGTTTCAATAATACTTCGACGCCTAAATAAAGCTCGTGAGGAACAGACTAGAGAAAATCAGGCTGGTTTTCGACCTGGACGTGGTTGTATAAACCAGATATTCACATTACGTCAGGTCCTAGAACATAGACATATTCAGATGCCCCACAATGGTAGTTTTTCTCGACTTTAAGGCGGCACTTGACTCTGTTGATCATGAGGTTCTATGGCAGTGTTTGTCACTGAAAGGAGTACCAAAGAAGTACATAAACCTTGTAAAGGCTCTCTACTCGAACGCAACTGGTAGAGTGAGAGCTTATGGCGAACTGTCATCAAAATTGATTACCTCAAGTGGTGTTCGTCAGGGCTGTCCACTCTCTCCATTCTGGTTTAACTTTGTCGTTGACGTGCTTTTAGATATGACACTTTCCTCATCTAAATTTACAGGGGTTGAACTTACATCGGGAGGTTCACTTGTTGACTTAGAATATGCAGATGACATAGCTGTATTTGGTGAAGACGCTGACAAAATGCAGAGTCTTCTGACCACTCTAAGCAACAATGCAAGCATATTCGGCATGCGATTCTCCCCCTCGAAATGCAAAATGTTGCTTCAGGATTGGGTTGCATCGACACCCGAACTAATGATTGGGAATCTCATCAGCCCTTGTGGTCTAGTGTGTGATGAAATCTCAGCACAGATACAGAAGGCTCGACTAGCTTTTACCAACTTGCGTCATTTATGGCGTAGGCGAGATATCCCTCTATCAACTAAAGGACGTGTTTACTGCGCAGCAGTTCGTCCCGTCCTACTTTATGGCAGTGAAACATGGTCGGTAAGAGTAGATGATGTTCGTAGGTTGCTAGTATTCGATCATAGATGTTTTCGAAGCATTGCTTGTATATCCTGGGACCACCGGAGAAGTAACACAGTTATTAGGAAACGGGTACTAGGTAAGGATGGCAAATCAATTGATGAAGTAGTGAAACTTCATCAGTTGAGATGGCTGGGACATGTGTTACGTATGCCCAACAACCGACTGCCTCGACGTGCGATGTTCAGTGGTATAGGAGTAGGTTGGAAGAAAGCTAGGGGCGGACAGACTAAAACATGGCACAAGTTCATGAAGTTACTGACAAGTGGACTGAGTCATGTTGGTAGGTGTAGACTACCTGGTTGGGGACCGCGAGATGACAGCAACCGATGGTTAGAGACCCTGAATGACATGGCTCAAAATCGTTTGCAATGGCGCAGGTGCATCCACTCTTTGTGTTCTCCCAAATTCTAATCTTCTGAATTCTTCATGTCCCTTTTTTCCTCTTTCCAAATTTATTTCACTGAATTATACTCCTTGAATAACATCTTCAAACCCTAATTTTTCTGATTACAGATTATAATTTTACTACATCTAGCACTACGGGATTTGAATCGACCACTGCATCTCTGTGCTGATGTGATGTGGCAACTCGAACTGATGTATGTACGTACGAAGTTCTACGTTGTTACTGACTGACTGACTGACATTAACACTTAAAACTTCAGTTGATCAATCCCTTTTGACATAGTGCATTCTCTGTGGATTGCGTCGATATTACCGTTAAATCACAAGTATTTTTAAACAGAGATGGATGGTGGCTAACAGTTTTGAAGTTATTTCGCTATAAACTATAAAGAAATCCGCTAAATAACAACTATTAATTAGCTCAAATTATCTTATTATTACGTAATACGAAATAGTGGTAAACTGTATCATGTAGATTTTTTCTCACCTAATTTTACTGTCTATTCGTCAAAGGAAAAATTAAAGGAAATAACCAACGATGACTCAAAGAAACGTCGTTACAATCGTATTCTCACACGGTATGATGAAGGACTGAGAGCTTGTGAACATGGAGTTACTTCGTTTGAATTTGAAGAGTTGGTCCCACCTCCAGGTTATCCTCCACTTACTGATCGTTCTAAATTAAGTAAAAATGTAAAATTATCTAACAATGATCCAAAAACATCTCTTGCAAAACCTAGCTCTGGGCATCCAATAAAAAATAAAACGGAAGCAATTGTTGAACTATTAACTAAACGTCAAGATGAGTTGAAACAAGCCGCTAAAGCTGCAAAACAATCTGGTAATATTGAATTGGCTAAAATGTACATACGATCGGTTCTTGGAATGAATCAAATGATACAAGCTGCTGAAGCTGGCTTACCAATAGATTTAACTCAGTTACCACGGCCACCTGCACTTACTGATTCTAATCCATCTAGACCTATATTAAGTGGATTAAAATGTGATCCACCTGTAAAGTATGCCGTTGCTTTTAATTCTTTATCAGGTAAATCGTTTCAATGAGTATGCTTTTTTTAGAGAAATTTAACTGAATTTTAAAGAAGTATTGTTGCACACTTTCGATACTTCTGCTATTCTTTTGCTTTTTATTTAATTTCATCATAGATACGTTTCTTTCTACTGGTGACACTTCTCAAAGGGTGACCTACTACCCATTGACCTCATTCACTTACAATATACGAATGACAGAATTCAGTCTTTTGAACACTAATGCTAAAATGTTTGCGATGCTTTTCTCTCTTCAAAGCTCACACTGTTGCTTTAGAACTGATAAGCTAGTGTCACTGACAGATTTGATCATAGGGAGTAATGTAGCTGAGCGCGTTGAACATTGTACGTATAGACTCAGTTCGGTTGGTAACTGGTTGATACGTGAAATCCAACCACCCTGAGAAATTTCGTCTATTTTTTGTTACTGTATCTCGTCCATGGAGCGAACAAAATCCTTATATATATATATCTATATATATATATATATATATATATATATATATATATATATATATATATATATATATAAATGGCTCGACAATTAACTATGTATCACTTAATTAATGTAAAATACCTGACTATTAAAGGTAGAAAACGTTCTTATACTGCAGTTATTCGATAAAAGCTGCCTTCGAATTATTACTTACTCAGGGTAAGCTACTCATCAAGTAATACTGGGGTAGATGGGACGCGTTTGAGTTATACCCTGCAACTCCTAACCGTACAATACTAGTTAGCGTAGGAGTATATTAGAAAATATTAGGAAACTTACTGAGCATTGTAAGAAAACACATGGTTTCTATTTGGGATCTCCAGAGTAATCATAATATATAAATATAACACCTCAAAATCTGTCTTGGTGGTGCAGTTGTATTTATATTTTCTGTCATTGAAATGTGAATGTTATTTCAGAGTCTTTGTTCCATTATTCCATTCGTTCGCCATTGCAATTGACAATCCATTATTCCTTCTTCTTTACTCTGTCTTGTGTTTTTCCCTACTGTATTGTTATGAAATGTAACCGTTTGACCCCATTGAGATTTATCCCATACATTGTTGCTCTTGGATGACCTACCTCAGATGCATTCACTCTTACTTTTCCTAGATCTTCAGTTTCAGTTTCCCTTCATACATATATATTTTCACATTTCGTTTTCTTGAACATACTCTAACTGTCTAGTACTCCTGATTACTAATGCTACTACAAATATTTCAATTATTTTGCTATTCATCTTGTTGACTTCATCTCGTCGTGCTAATGTTTTCTAAGAACTTACCCTGGCTGGATGTTGATTGTAACTGATTGAGTAACTACAATTCTTTAGAACGATTTTCTGGCTGTAGCGTAGCTCACTCTATTATTCATTTGTATTCTAGGGTTACATAATGTTTAATGCGTACAAGACTAACTGTAGGACTCATCGAATTCGGTGATAGATATAATCCTATGCATTATACTTAACGAAATCGATTTAAATTCATATTGGTTTGTATTTATCACTTAAATTATATATGATAATACTATCAAAATAATTTTTACTAGAGTTGGATAGTGCCTAGCAGTGGGATCTAAGATACGCATTTCGTCTTATTCGGAACTCGTCAATTAGATGTGCCTCCATCTCACTATTAGTGACTACCCCGGGACTCGAACCTGATGCCTTTCACTTTAAATGTCAGCATTTTGTCCATCGAACTATTCAACCCGAATAGCCACTTACTTGTTCACTATTGTTAATGCTAAAGACTACGTTGGTTCCTCACCACTTATGATCCTTAATATTAACGACAGGAAACCCTTACAGTCAAGCATTATGATATGTTCTCTTTGTTACTTAATACTTTTTAAACAACTCTATATTTCAAGATAAATTTTATATGTTCTATATAGGTGATCAATTATTTAAAACATACTCAGAAATTTTATCAGAACAAGAACAACTAATTAACAATTTAATAAATCAACATCGTCGTAATGGTGGTGCTAATGCACATTCGATATTATCGAAATTATCTGATTTACTTAGTGTGAATACGTGTATCAAGAAATTATTATCTAAATACAATCAACATGTATCTAATTTAACCGCATATTTTGAATATGCCAATTTGCCTAAATGTAATTTGAATGCTGAATTAGCGGATGATATACTTGAAGTTAGTAATATTCATGGTATAGCTTATCCACTTCCATCACATTATTCAAATATTGATACTTATGTTGAAGTTGAATTCAGTTTAAATAATGCCAATCCACCAATGAAGTTATCTACCAATGTAGTTAAATCAAGTAGTGAACCAATATATAGTCAATCAGTTAAAGAATTTCGTGTAAATACAAAAAGTCATTCATATAGACGATTTGTTCAGAATAATCGTTGTCTAAAAGCAACAGTAAGCTAGTTTTCAGTTGTATTAGTTTACAATTGCATGTTCACATAAATTGCATTGTTCTATGTAATATTTTGTATGTATATTAAGGTTGTGTTTTCCCTTGGTCAGTTTTGTTACTGGTAACTATGATTTTGAGTCAAACTCGGCTTCAAATAATTTGGTATCAAAAACGGTTAATATCAATTAGCCTATGCACAAAATGTTTGACTAAAAGTCAAGTACATAAATGAGTACTTGGTTAGTGATCTACATGGATATTTTTGTTATCCTCGTTTAAGATGGTAGGGAAGATAAGTGCCTCAGTAGTGAAATTTCAAAGGTATAATGTTTTTTGTTCTCTTTGGTTTCGTTATGTAGCTTTTATTAACTTCCTAAATAATACCATCAATGCAGAAGCGATTCATTAAAATTTTCATAGAATCGATTAACTTCTTGTTCTTTCAAGATAAATTTCGATTAGCTGTTGTTCGTATTTGTTCTATTACCGTATGCATATTTATGTCAATATTATTATTTAACAACAGATCTCTAATTTTGTAGCTAGTAGTCATTTTTATTTTTTGTTCCTAAATTAAGTCTATTTCAGTTTGTTTATTGACTATTGACTGAAAAAATTGTTACACTTCCGAAAATTCTCAGATTTTCATTATATGTCGTAACATTTTTCCAGACGAATTCATATTCATAGTTTACCATACGGGTTAATATAAGCCAAAGTACCTGTTCAATATAGACTCACCTGGTACATCATCTTAATGTGTAAGTAGTATACTTTGCTTATTAAGTGCTAAAAAGATGACTAAACATGATTTCGGTATTCTACTTTTGTTTTACAGGCATAACATTGGCATCCAACGTATATGCTACGTGCACTAGATCATTACTAATTCCAAATTATGTGTAATTTTAATGAACCATAAATTTGATCGTAACCAGAAAGTATTTCTCACATTATGTGTTTATACTTATGATAATCACGAGCATTTGAATTATAGTATGAACTAAGAATTCCAGAAATGACGTAATTGGATTAAGAAGTGCTAGATAACCACAAACGAATGTACTGTATTTAGAATTCGAAATCAAGCATTCAACAAGTACAAATGTATCATTAGTTCATTCAAACACCACATCCGCCACAGCTTAAATTAGAGTCTAGGTGTCTGTAATCAATCGTACGTCTTCTTCTCAAGTTCATCCTGTGTCTGTCCGACATTATATTGTATAAAAACTCTATTATCTAGAATTCACTCATTAGTATAAGAATTAACAACCGAAATCGTAACAGACTCACCTACTTCCTGGGATTGTGTAATCAGCATGTCGGTTGTGTACTGAAACCACTGCTACCTAGAATTTGAACCATAGACCTTTAGACTACCCTCCCCGACGAAATAATGTTGGATCTTTATATCCCCAACTTATGAGTGATGTGGCTTCATTTAAAACTTATTTCTCACATTGGTTAGAGTAAACATTAGAAGTGTTTTTGTGATAAGCATAAACAGCAGTTGATATGGAATCATCCGAATTGTAATCAAAATCGAGGTCATTCAGTACTTGTCCTTCGCATTGAACAAGTTTCCCACAAGAAGCAAATGCATTATGAGGACAAATAATATTTGGTATGACATCAAGCTTTGACCAGAATAAACAAAATAAACTATTTAAACGCTACCCTGGGAGTTGAAGAAAGAATCACGACGCCTCATGATTAAAGCCGGGATTCTTCACAAGTCACGAAGTCGATAACCCTCTTAACAACCAGACCGACAATTAGCATAAGTACATAGAGCGTCCGAACAATGTGGAAAGCGGATAGGACCAGTTAATTAGCAACGGAAATCAAGAGATACAACTTGGCAGTACTCGGAATCAGCGAAACACATTGGATCCAAGCTGGATAGAAAAGGATAAATTCAGCAGAGATGCTGGTGTATTCCGGTCACGACGTGCAATGCTAACCGGTGTTCGGGATGATTAGAAGAAAGTTAGGGGCGGCCAAACCAAAACATGGCATCAGTGCTTGAAGTCACTAACTTCTAGTCTGAGCCATGTTGGTAGATGCAGACTACTTGGTTGTGGTCCACGTGACTATTGTAACCAATGGTTGGAGACTCTTGGTGACATGGCTCAGCATCGATCACAATGGTGTCGGTGTATACACTCCCTGTCTTCCCTTAAACTAAGAGATTAAAATAGCTTCATACCTTTCTTTCTACGAACTAATTCTTTCTTCGTGTACTATATCCTTATTGCAATCTTTCTTTTTTATATTACCACCTCTGAATTAACTACTTTTATGAATCCGGTGTCCATTTTGTTATGTTAATGTGGTGTGGCAACTTGGACCGATGCATATATGTGCCTGGTCCTACGTTGCAGCTGACTGACTGACTGAACTGCATCGCAACTCCTCAATGAATTATCTGCAAAACCTTGAGTATGCACTGGGTTGGGATGACGAAATGCATTAGAATTTTTTTATATCCTCATGAATCATCTTACGAAATCTTCATTCTTTACCACATTCGAAATTTGTATACTGAACATAGTCTAACAGTAGATCCTTGAGAATTGTATAAGAAAGCGAAATGGGCTTTTCCGGTAAGGCCAGAGTTTTTAATAAGCTATATGCTTCTTTTCCGATGAAAATGAGGAAATGTGCTAGAATATTAACATCCTCAGCATCTTCCTTGATCATAGCCCAGATTTCGAACTTTTCAAAGTAATCCTCAAAAGCATCAGAATCTGAATGTATGTCTAACCCTTCCATCACAGGCTCCATCGCGACGCCAATATGATGATTAGGAGTATTTGAATTATGGTATGAAATAAGAATTCCAGAAATAACGTAATTGGATCAAGAAGTACTAGATAATCACAAACGAATGTACTGTATTTAGAATTCGAAATCAAGCATTCAACAAGTACAAAGGTATCATTAGTTCATTCAACCATCACAATACTCCAATGATCAAATAAATAATTTTTTTTAGTAAAAATTATAATCATAGAAAATTTCGAACCATATGAATAATAAACATATGATTATGTCAGTATAATTATTAATATTCAAACGATACAATATGAGAAAAAAAACATTCAATTATTAATAGCTTTCCATTAACATTGATTATTGGTTGATATGTAACCATCATCTTTTTCTACTCTTGTGATTTGGTTATATTTTAGTTTCATTTACTTTAATCATTCTATGCTCACAAAATAGCTGATCAGATTCTAGTCTAAATTGAATTGAAAGAATTTAATATTTGATTATTATTATTGTTATCTAAGAGATGTATTGCTAGCTGTATTATAAAATTCATAGAAGCACTTATGTAACTATTTGCCGACTCTGGGACTGGTTAGAAAAAGCGGAGAGGTGGTCAGTATATGACATGGTGTCGTGGCATGAAAGAAAGTTGCAAAGCACTGGCTTGTGTTGGTCCTTCACGACTCCCTGGTTGGGGTCCGAGAGATGGCGCTACACAGTGGCTAGAGACGTTATCAGATATGGTTCAGAATAGAAGCCAGTGACGATCCTGCTGTAACCTTCTTTTACTTTTCTCATAAAAAACTGGTTGTCTCTTCCTTAACTGAAAGATTTCTTCTGATTGTACCTTTCCGTCCCCCCATTATTACTATTATTATTACACTACTTTACACCAATCTCTTCGTTATTGTTCTCTTTTTTTACGCTCCTTACCTATTTTCTTTTTCCTTCTCTTTAAATTCTCATTGTTTTGTTTGGCGCATATATATTTGGCGCTCTCTTGTACTGATATCTATGTGTTCAAATAAATAAATTGTAAATTTCAATTCTTTATTACTGTCTTTGTAATCTTTATGATGAACAAAAATTGGAAAACTAGACAATATATGATCGGGAATCTTCGGTTTTTCTTTTTTCCCAAAATGATATGTATTATATGTAATGAAACTTATATTTATTCTTTAAAAGTGTAAATTTTCTTTTCAATTTTGTTTGTCACATTTTCTTGTTGGTACCGTTTAACTTGAAATATCATAAGAAGAATCTTATTCAACGTGACAACTCATTTATCTTGATTGACTTTGCCTCTTAATTAGTTAATTCAAAACTGAAAAACTATTCAAATGCCATTTGACATAGGATCACCTATAGATGAATAATTTTAATTCATTTTGATTCATATCTTGTTGTGTTGAAATATTATAACAATAAACATTTAAAATTTCATTTTTATTCTGTTCTCAGGTATATTACAATCGTGGTATATTTCGAAGCTGGGGTGTACTAGGTATAACTGAAATTCCTCTTACTGGACTTGTCCAATCGGCAACCGTAACTCATGTTGGTGATTTGAAAGAAGGTCGTAAAGTAGTAGGGGGTCGTCTACAAGTACAATTAAGACAACGTGAATCACTTAGTGTAAGTTATTGTCAATTAATTGGATCTTTAGTTTATTGTAATCTATATTCAACATAGTAGATCATTATGGTTTTGCTAAACCAGTTAAATGTATTTATTAGTGATTTATAAAGCTAATAACGCAGAAATATTTATTATGAAACAGCAATCACATTGTTTGTGGTTGAAACATCTTAGAATTATCTACATTCTTTCGTTTTGGGTTATTCGTTACAGTTTTTCATAAGCCGACCCAAATACATTGTGATTCCATGTGATGTTTACTGTTCTGATAATGTCTGGGTACTCGTATGTGTGTGTATGTGTTGATTTTATCTGCTTCATATATTTATTGTTTTAAAATACCGAAATTTAATCAGCCAATGCTGAATAAACTATCGAATATATATTTTCAATAGTAGCTATTAATTTTATATGATGATAGCTTCACTGCGAAAGTGTCCTTTAATAATGAATATCGTCAGGAGAAGAATATCATGCTTAACAAATAGTTTCATATCCATTAAATGAGTTAGTAGCTATTTGAACTCAATAGTTTAATGTTTGTAGCGATAAGTAGTGAAGTCGAGTGGGAAATTCAATACTGGAATGTGGGCACATCAAGGTTCTAAAGAAATAAAACACGTATCCTTGATTCCATTTCTCGACGCAACTCAGATATACTCACAAGTTTATATTTACAGTTATCTGATATAGATCTAATAAAGATTCTTTCACTTAAAATGGGAAAATATTTGACCATATTAGTGATTGTCATCTTCGATTGCATTTAAATACTAGAATATAGATTTCCATCATATTTCAAGAAATACTTATTCATAGAATAGAGTTTGGTCATTAGTTTGACCGATTTTTAAAATCTTTAATCTGAAGTTTCACATTAATTATGCTTCTTAAGGTGGATATGTGATGTACAAATCTGCTGTTTGTTGTATATTTATGCTTTCTTGAAGGCTATTAATATTTGGAATTTCACTTTACTATTAGGAACCTAAATAAATTGGCAAAGATTTTACTCGGTTTTAACATTCAATAATACGTGAAATTTCTAGTTATTTGTCTGGATGAAAGGAGGGTTAGTTGTGTGATCGGTATAGTTTTCTGCTAAAAATTGTCGTCAAGTAAATAAATTTGTTCTCTTCACACATTTAACTTGGTTTTAAAGAGGTTGCCACTGGTTTTCTCAATACATTAGGTGCTAGTAACTCGGGAAATAATTTCCGGAGTTTTACTGAGAAGTCATGACAAGTAGATTTTAACCATGTCAAGTGTGAGGCAGTTACCCACTGATGACATTGTAAGATGGTTGGGCAATATCGCGAATAGATTGAAGTTGGAAGTATAAATCACTGAATGCCGACCCAGTGCTCTAAAGCTTAAGCGCTTACTGCGAGACCTGGGAATCCTGAGTCTGATCCTCAGAGAGACCTTAGATGCAGGCTGTCAAGTTCCATATTTGGACGATGCAGCTTTCCAGTTGTTTCTGTTTTTCAGTGGTCGTCTAACTAAATAAAAAATAAAAACTAATATGTAACAATAACGTCTAACTAATGCCGAATTTCCCAATAAACCATTTCGAATGCAACTGTGCCGTACATATTTTTGATTTGCTCGTACATATTATCACAACTTAGGGAAATAGTTTTATCATATGTTGGAATGAAGTCACCATCCAATGGAAATCAAAGCAAGTTAATCACTTGCTACATTGTAACGTTAACTGAATAGCAGTATGCTCTATTCACACTTCATACATTCTGTCCTAGTTAATTACGTAAGTAAAGTCAATGTTTATGGGAAGTAATTTTCGAGCAGAATATTTACGCGTATAGTTAAAGTTTAAAATGAAAGAAAAAAATAAACGAAAATGTGGCAAACATTCCTTTGTTAACTCGCGTCAGTTCACACATAAATTGAAAATCTATTTCCCTTTTTTATGTTTCTATTGATATCATTTATGTTTCAGGGAGAAACTGTTGTTTATCAACAACAGCCTTGGCTTTTATTATCTGCACCGAAACAGATTAATGAATCACCTAAACTTATTGAAATCGAAAATTCAAAAAATAATCCCGTTTCCTCATCTTCTTTGTCTACGCCAAAACAGACTGATTCACCTAAATCTATCAGAAGTGAAAATATAAGGCATAGCCCTGTTCCTTCAATTTCATCAAAACAAACTAATTCACCTAAACCTATCAGAATTGAACATGCAATGAATAATCCTATTTCTTCTTCTTCTTCTTCTTCTGTCTCTACAAAAGCAACTAATTCTGTTTCATCGTCATCATCTCGTGTTGTTATCGTAAGAAACATAGATAATTCTTAATTGTTTCATTAATTGAATACATATTATGATACTTTATATTTCACTTGAAATGTCATGCATCAAGAAATCAAGTACAGATTTGCTTTTTTTTAATATCAAATGAACATAGAATTACCTATTACAATGATTATTCGAAGGATAATTCTATCTATATTCATGTATCATTTCAAAGAGATGTTTTATGTATATAATTCATTTGGTAATAATGAAATTTCTAATATTACAAAATTCTTTTTCTTTCTTTTTTTTAATTTCCACAAGTCATTTTTGATTTGTTTTCTTTCTTTTTTCTTTTTGAAAAAAAACTATTTTCAGTAGTACTATAATTCTCATTAGATATTTGGTTTCTTGTATTTACTGATTATGAATCAGTTATAAGTAGTATATTGACAACTGGTAGGATTTTTCATCAGTTTAATTTGTCACATATTTACTTATGAGTAATTTATCTCTAGGAGTAAACAATTTAGTACTGATGAAATTTCATTCAAACTTCTGGAAATTGTTTATTACAAATGATTGACTGATATAATAATATTTATAATCCAAGCTTTTGAACACTTGCGTTGGTTGAAATAATTGATAGTCACATATTCATATATCAGAAGGGGTTTTGTAAAGATTGTAGTAATTTCAACAGTTGAGATCATGAGTCAATTGAAGCTAGACCACCATGGAAAACCTGGAAGCACTGGACGACCGTTTCGTTCTATTGTGGGACTCTTCAGCAGTGCGCATCCATGACATATTCATGTGACGATTACGAGATGGAGAAGATTTGTAGCTGATGTGGATAATTTAGGTGGAGTTTTGTTCTATGAGCTAGATGGTTTGTTCGTGGAGCTTTTATTGTTCATCTGAACAACATCATTAGCACAAACTTCTACCTGACTTTTTTTGACGATGATGTTGTTCAGATGAACAACAAGAACTCCACGACCAAACCATCCAAATTACAGAACAAGACCACCTAAATGTGACCATTATGTTATTTTGTACATGCGATGTTATTATTTAGCATAAAAAATAATGTGCAACACATTATATGTCCTTCTAATTTGATCACTTAATTGGTTTTTTTGCGTATGTAAATGCTGTTCAGAGCCCAACGTTCTTCCTGCCAACGCGTAATATGTATAACAAGTTAGTGTAATGTTGGTACGCGAATAAGGTTTATTGTTCGAATTTATCAAATGATGATTTTCATTTTGTCTCAAGATTTTCATCGTTTTCCTTGGATTTGGGTTAAGCTTATTTTCTATTTCAGTAATATATAATCCTAACGGATTGGTCAAGTAGAGATCTATGTGCTCAATTCCAATCCATACCTATTGTTTGCTGAGCTAGAATTACAGTCTGCTTAGTCAGGCTGAAGTAAATATAACCTATTTGAAATTTATGAAGTCATAATAAGGTCTTCAATCCATTTATACATGAAACAAATAGTTGATTCTGTTTGATTCATAATCATCTTTCGAAAGAAAATTTGATACAACTTATTGGATTAATTTTGAAATCTGCAGCCATATTACTAAGTTTTTGCACAGACACCAATATTTATGGAAATGTCCAGTTCATACTCATTACAAAATCAAGCATATTCTACAGTGACTTATATAATTGTATAAATAGCCAAACGTTATTATCTGCTAAGAAGGAAATTAACGTTAAGAAAACTTCAATGATAATCAATTATGATTGGGTGATCTGTTCGATAAAATCTACCTGATCAAAGTATTATCAGTCACTATGAATTTTAAGTACAATTGTTAACTACCTATTTTTAGTAAGTAGCGTAGGTATTATGACGAAATGTTTCAACTTATTTCCTACATAATTATGGTTTGAACAAGTTATTTGTAAATTATTTACAACTGATCATACATCAATTGATACTTAGATACGTTTATTTCAAATTTATTGAGAAGAAAGCATTCTGATCGATATGAAGTCTTATTTGTACGCATATGGTGTTGAATATTGGATGTTCATTCGAAATCTAAATTCTTAGAAGTTTTATCAACAATTCACTGAAATTGTTTACTTACTTACGCCTTTTGCTCCTCGTGAAAAAGCATAGGCCTCTCACCAGCATTCTCCATCCAACCCTGTCCTGAGTAATTCACTCAGACTGCATCCATAAGTAATTCGTTTACAACATGATTTAGTCTAATAGAACGTGGTTCTAATGAATTGATGCTTCAAAAATGCCTGAGAATACTTCTTTGAGTCATTTTTAACTAGATCATCTATATGATATTTCTACTTGGAAATTATTTCTATGATTATATAGTCAAATGATTCCCAATATATGATAGATCAAATATTATTTTTTGGTTTTATACACATCAAATCTTATTAAGTGATTTTATGTAATATTTCTCTGCGAATCATCGATTACGCAATGCTGTCTTTGCTTTCATTCTTATTTATACATATGCTTATTTGAAAAAAGTTCTTTTTGAAGATACATTGTGTTTTCAAAGCTAATTACAAGCCGTCGAACTCGAACACTAGGCACGGATATTTACTTACGCCTGTTACTCCTCGTGAGGGGACATAGGCCGCTCACCAGTATTCGAACATTAAACAAGTACTTTTGAAAGACGATGTCAAATCCTCGTATCATGATTTAAAATGAATAATAAAATAGATTATGGTAATGGGAATTGTTGTGTCTTGTGAACTGCAAATTATGGACAGTGTATTATCGTTCGGACCAAAGACGCGCAAACACGTAAGAACGGCCTAGAGTTCTGATTGGTCCCGCTTCCCTGTCTAGCCCAGCCAGTTGAGTCCAGAAACGCAAGTCTCAACCTCTGAGATATGAATCGTTATATTTCAAACATACTCTGTTTATATACCAATCAAGCAGACCACATCGTACTATAAAATAGAAACTAACATTGTACAATATTGGCCAATAGGAAAATGACACGTGAAATAAATATTGACCAATAAGAAAATGACACCATCTCAAGTCCAAGGATAGAGTTAGACTTAACAGAATAATTATTGGGATATTTTTCTGAATATCCCAACAGGAATAAATAAATTTTAGTTGGTTAAAGGAAAACTTACAATATTTTATATGAGGATGATAAACTTTGTGAAATAGGATCAGCTTTCCTGTAAAGAGTATATTAGTTGCTGAGTATTTTCTGTGTTACATTGTAATAAGAAAACTAAGTTGGAATATACTATTTTTATCTGTGTAACAAAACGTTTTGTTTAGTCTCATTGTTCCATTCAATTGTCTTAGATATGGCTAATCTTATTCAATTATCTGACGATATTCTTTCATGAATACATTTTTTGATTTAACATCTCTATTGCATAAGACAATTGAGTTTTGTTTTAAAATATCTGAAACTAGCATAAAGAATGAGAAAAATTTGGAAAAAAACAACATGCTAACTAATTCAGTATCACACATGTCACCTGCTAAGTATGTCAACAGGGTAACTCAACATCATGTGCCAGGATAAAACCTATGGATATCATGACGATTGAAGCTTCAAATGAAAACTCTGTTGCGATTTATCGCCTACTTTTTTCAGAGTGCCCAAAAAATTAAAATAATCGAAAGCACCGAATAGAACTTACGTCGTGTACATGATAACATATTGAGTAACGAGAATAGAAAATGAATATCTTTGAAAAACCAATAAGAAATACAGAAAGCTAATAAGCTTATCTGTAGCAGACTTCATACATAAATGTTAATAAATAGCTGTAATATATTTCAGTCCTATAGATAAATTGAAATATTAGTATCCTCAATATTATTACTGTTCATTGTGAAGAAACGATTCTTTCCAGGGTTTCTTTTAACTAAAACTTTTGATAGTGTGTATGTGGCGCTACATTTTATCAATGTACTCTACTATCAATCAATAACCAACGCTTACGAAAGTAATCGCTACTAACGCCCTATAAAGTAGCAGCTTTAATATGTGCTAAACAAATTATTATTTATCAGATACTTGATTTTTTAAATACTAAGGAACTGATTTTGCTAATTGGCTATACTCAATGAATTGAATCATATAAAGTGAATTTAGTTGACAGATCAGTTTACTATTGATGTAAGCTTCAGTAGATCTATACCCAACTCTAATGGTTTTGGTATTCTATCATTTGATGTTCAAGATTTATTTTTCTGATCAAAACTTATTTTCGTTGCTTACATTGAGTGATCTACTTGATTGTCGTATATATAAAATATATGTAGATAGGAATATTTTTATTTCATTTGTTTTCACATTGAATAATACAGTTGTTTACGTTGTCTGATTCAGCTTGATTTTGTAATTGACATGAACTAGATAGGTAGTGTGGCGAATGGGCTATTGCCATTCTCAGGAACTCCGTAGTGTCGAAGAAGTTTCCATAACGTCCTCCTATCTACACTGTCAAATGCATTTTCATAATCAATGAAGTTGATGTATAGTGACGAGTTCCACTCAACTGATTGTTCGACGATGATCCGTAGTGTTGCAATTTGGTCTGTGCACGATCGATCCTTACGGAATCCAGCTTATTGATCTCGAAGTTGGGTGTCTACTGCATCTTTCATCCGGTTCAGCAACACTCTGTTAAAGACCTTCCCTGGTATTGACGGTAGTGTAATGCCTCTGTAGTTTTCACATTTGTTCAGATCTCCTTTCTTTGGAATCTTGACGAGGTGCCCTTCTTTCCAGTCCATTGGCACTTAATCCTCCTCCCAAATCTTTTTGAATAGAAGGTGAAGCATGTTTGTAGTTACTTCGATGTCTGACTTCAGTGCTTCAGCTGGTATATTGTCGGGTCCTGCTGCTTTCCCGCTCTTGATTTATCTGACGGCCATTCTGATTTCTTCCGTCGTTGGTGATTGACATCTATAAGATATGTGTGTGCTGCTTCGATATCCGGTGGATTCATTGGAGCCGGCATATTCAGGAGTTCTTCGGAGTACTCTATCCATCTGTTCCGCTGTTGTTGAATTTCAGTGATTGGCCTGCCTTCTTTGTCTTTGACCGGTCTCTCTGGTTTACTGTATTTTCCTGCTAGTTTCTTCGTTGTATCGTAAGGCTGTTTCATATTTCCTTCTCTTGCAGCTTTTTCCGCCGTTGTTGCTAATTCTTCCACGTATTTCTTCTTGTCGGTTCTAATGCTCCTCTTCGCCTGCTTGTTTGCTTCTGTGTATTCAGCTTGTGCTTGGACTTTCTCTCCTCGTGTTCGGCTGTTGTTAATTTCTGTCTTTTTGTTCTTCCTTTCTTTGATCTTGTCCAGAGTTTCTATAGAGATCCACTCCTTATGATGATGTTTCTTTAGAACAACACATATAAGCGAACAATTGTTTTCAATTAGATCGTCATCAGGCTTTACTCTAATATACATGGATATTTATACGAAAATTTTAAACCAATCAAGGCAATATGAGTCAATAATCACAATGAAATAGAATAAGTCACTACACATAAAATAGGTAAAAGTACAAGTTGATAGTACGAAGACAGGTGAACGGATAGTAGTAAGAATAATAAACTATAATAACAAAACTCTTATCAATAGTTAATCGTTGGAAATAGAAGGTCAAACAAACATGGGTAAATAGACTAGGAATAGTAATCACAAAACCTTAAAAATCATTACGTAATAAGATGTGTGTAAATAATTAGATAGTGAAGAATACAAAGAGGCGGATAATGACAAACAAATAATGGATGTGGAAATAAGGTTAACAATAACACAAATAGAATAAAATAAATAATGATAATAATAAATTTAAAATAAAAATAAAAAAAAAAAATTGTTAGTTAAGTTATAACTGGCCATGGAAGGGATAGGGGAGTCACGTATTTCTTCTGTACACATAGATTGGGGTTATATGTACGAATTCCAATGGCTTCAGCTATATATAGGAGACGGGAACGGACTCCGTCGGGAAATGATGGAGGTATACGATAGATAACTCGAAATGATTTCGATTTCTCTACTGTATGACCGCTATCAATAAGA